ACACAACAGAGTTTCCTCTTAAAGATTTTTGAAGTTCTCTTTTTCAAAAGAACTTCTCTAGAGATCTAACAAAAACTTTGTATTTATATCTAAACAAATGTTTCATTGAATCAAAAGATAAACCAGAAAAGAACAAACATACCACACATTTTGTTATTTGTTTGGCCAAACTCGATTCAATATTCAGACTTGACCAATAGAGTTTGAACACAACTTTGAGTGGATTCAGATTCAATGGTTGTCTAACCACTGATTCCACTACTCTCACTAAATTCAATACCACCAGTACTTGAATCTGGGCGTTGGCTCTTCTTCCAATCAATGTTATAAAAAACCTTAAGGAAGATGCCTCTGCCTCTTTCCTTGATATATGTAGCAGATACATTACGATACTCATTTTTCTATAAGGTCATACATGTAAGTACATACAGACTCTTTTGTGTCTTACATCTCAATCTAATAGCTGATCATAAATCACTCCAAAGGATGAGCCTAGAATGAGATATGATAGGAACAAAATCTTGTTCTAAGCAATGTCAATAATCTCATTATCTTGGATTAAATATTTTGACTTTGAAATCATTGACAAGCTCAGAAGCAGATGGTGTTAGCTATCAGAGATTGACATAAAGCATATCAGAGTACAATCTTAGTACAACTAATATAGCTCAAAGAGAAGTTGAATATTTCTCATAGAAATTCCTTTTGAAATAACTTCCATGATGGTCCTCAACCAAGAAGCAACGGAGTTTCTTAAGATATCACCTTAAAAAACAAACTCCATATAATCAAATATTTTGAAACAAGATAACTTTAACAACATATCTTGCTTTTCAATACTTGGTTTTTTCATTTCAGAATACAAATTCTTCTTTTCATCTGCATCCTGCACTAATATCAACTTTAAACGATTAAGCATTGAAGAACATCTGATATTAGGTTCTGGTATATTTTCTTCTAGTTTTCAGATTTGGAAAATCAGTTGAAATACAAATATTTCAGAAGCTCTTGAAGTTACTCTTCTTTCAACAGATATCATATTCCATTCAACTAGTATGAAAGTCCTTCTGACAAGAAACCTAAGTTTCTCATCTTTAGTCATTCCAAAGAACTTAAGCTAAAAGGAGAAGGTGATCTGCTGAATAGCTTTTCATCATCCAACTTCATTTCTTTCCTTTGAAGATTGCAAGACGAACCTTCAGAACACAGCAGATTCAAGATGGAAACATAAAAAAAACTTTGACTTTAGATTTAAGTCAAGGAACAATCTTCTCAGAATTTCCTTGAAAAGATTAGATGAAGTGTAACTACTTCAAGCTTCAAACAATGATCCACTCAAACCCAAGCTCAAGACTTCAAAGATAGTCCAAACATTAAACATATCAATGATGTTGATATACTCAAAATTGAGATAGTGCATCTACCAGAATGCAACTGCCTCTGAAGATATTCAATATGCATCTTCTAAGTTGGTGAAAGATATTTTCAATATGATCATCTATAACACTATCAACTTCTATAGTAATACCTTTTTCAAGGATATTTTATAGACCTTCAATAGCCCTTTATCAAGTCCAATGAGTTAAAAATATATTTAGCTTTTCCATCATTTCAATTCAATGGAATCACCCATTTGAATATGGTAGGAAAAGTCTTATGATATTTTTCATGTGGCACTTGATTCCTTGAAGAAGAAATATACTTTTCTTATTGGATCAATATTTGCACCACTATTAAGTGTAAAGAACAGACCATGCTCTGATACCAATTGAGGGTGTGAAAAGTACACAAGAAGGGGGGTTAAATTGTGTTTTGCGTTTTCTTATTATTTAGCTTCTGATCAGAGTTTCAAAATCATAACTGATGTTCAGATTCTGAGTTAATTCTTTTGGCAGCGGATACAACAGAAGTAAATAAAATAACAGCAAAAGACACAAAAGATTTATATTGGCTCCTCCTCTAATTGAGAGCAGTCCAGTCCCCTTGTATCACAAAAGCTTTTCATTATAACCACCTCATGATTACAATCGCTTATGCTTCTGCATAAGACTTTTACAACTGCTCAGACCAACTGTCTGGGACTTTCTTTACTTAGAGCACATGTCTAAGACTTAACCTTTGCTTACACCATCAGACTGAGCCGCATATTCACCTGTCTTCTGGTTGAGATTTCCATTTGCTTAGAACACATGTCTAAGACTCATTCTTTACTCACACCATTAGACTGAGTTGCCTGCTCATTTTTCTTCTAGTTGAGACTTTCCTTTGCTTAGTGCACATGTCTAAGACTTCCTTTGCTCACACCTTCAGACTAAGTCGCTTGCTCATCTGTCTTCTGGTTGAGCCTTTCCTTTGCTTAGAGCACATGTATAAGATTTCCTTTTCTCACATCATCAGACTGAGCCGCCTGCTCATCTGTTTTCTGGTTGAGACTTACCTTTGCTTAGAGCACATATCTAAGAATTCACTTTGCTCAATTAGACTAGTTGAATAAGACTTTCACAAATCAAGCACTTAAGTAATGAGACTTACGTGGCTTAAGAATCTTGCCTCAAGACTTGATGCTTGAATCCCAATGAAACAAGACTTTTTGCTCAAGCACATAGCAGGAGACTTAATCTAAACTACTAAAAGCTCAGTAGAATAGATAACAAGGTGTACATGATGCAAGCATCGGAGGTACGGAGGATCACCATAACAAATACCTAAAGCACTTAAGATTTTTAAATATGTACATGGGTAAGAAATCTTAAGGCTTTTAAAATTACAGCCTAAAACAGAAAACCTGCATATTACATAGAGTTGCTAATTGTTTGATCTTGCTACTCCTTCAACAAGCTTGTCCAAATCTGCATATTACATCTTCTCTTAACTATTGCACTAGAATAGTTGTTAGACAAAAAAAAGGAAAGATCACTGGTATGGATACTATTGGTAACTCATTTATTTCAATTAATAATGTTTAGTTTGTAGATGGACTTAAACATAACCTATTAGGCATTAGTTAATTTTGTGATAGTGGTTATGAAGTCATGTTTAATAAGAACAATTTCATAGTCATAAATGAATCTGGCAAGTCCATAGTTTTCAAAGGTAAGAGAATGAGCAATGCTTATTAAATTAATTTTTCTAAATTGGTTGATCAAAAGGTACTTTTCCTTCTATAATGAGTGATGAGATGTGGATCTGGCACAGAAGGTTAGGTCATGCTAACTGAATTTTAGTCTTTAAACTTAGCAAGTTGAAACTTATTAAAGGATTTCCATATCTCAATTATCACTCACTCTTTGTGGAGCATGCCAAGTAGGAAGAATCACCAAAACTTCTTTCAAATCTAAATACATTGTCTCTACCTTTAGACTCTTAGAACTTCTTCACATTGATTTGTTTGGTCCTGTTAGTACTACATCAACCAATGGGAAGAAATATGATCTAGTCATTATTGATGACTATAGCAAATGAACTTGGGTTAAATTCTTGAGAACCAATGATGAATCATATGTTATGTTCAACATCTTCTGCATACAAGTACAACCTAAAAAAGAATATAAAATTTTAAAGGTAAGAAGTGATCATGGTGGTGAATTTTAAAATGAGCCATTTGAACTTTTTTTGTGAAAAACATGGAATTCTCTATGAGTTCTCTTCTCCTAGAACTCCACAACAAAATGGAGTTGTAGAGAGAAAGAACATATCCTTACAAGAAACGGCCAGAATCATGATCCATGAAAACAACATACCTAAGAACTTATGGGCATAATTTGTAAACACAACATGTTATGGGCTAAATAGAGTCTATATTAGACTTAATTTGAATAAGACATCATATGAGCTTTTCAAGGGAAAAAGTCAAGCATCTCTTATTTTCATCAATTTGGATGTACTTGTCACATTCTAAACAACAAAGTTTATCTGAAGAAATTTGATGCTAAAGCTCAGAAGATTATCTTTTTGGGATACTTTGAACGCTCTAAAGCATACAAAGTATATAAATCTGAAACTAATATGGTTGTAGAGTCAATACACATTAAATTTGATGACAAATAGCCTGATAGTAAAATGTCAGAATTAGATTAAAAAATTTCAGAAATCTATGTATCTGAAGACACATTAGAAGCTAGAGGTCAAAAGGTTAGAAGTTCAGAAGCAATCAATATAATTGAAGGTGGATGCTCAGAAGCTATCAAAAGTTAATGATCCAGAACTTGATCAAACCTCAGAAGCTCATTCTGATAATGAATAATATGAAGAAGCACAATATGGCTCCTCAGTTGTATCACAATCCAAGAAGACATTCAAGTGGCCTGAAGTCTTCGATCTGAACAGCGACTCAAAAAAATTTAATATATCAAATTTTTTGATAAATCTAATATCTTTGGTAATATTTTAGATTTTTTAAAAAATTAATAGGTCATATTCACTAAGAAAAAAAATTTAACACTACCGAATTTTTCAAAAAATGTTGTAATTTAGTAGATTTTTTTTTTTAAATCTGATAATGTTAAAAAAAAATCGAATCTAAACTATTGACCGTTTTCAAAAACCCAAAAAAATTATCGATTTTTTCAAAAAAAACCAATATTTCTTCGAATATTTACCAAAACTCATCACGTTTTTATACGAATTTTTTCAAAAAAAATATAGTACGGGCATGAAACCAATAACAGCCCGTATAGGATGTCGGGTATAAGTGTGGTTGGGAGATATTTCGACATTATATGATCTTCATAAATAAAGTGATGTACATAATGGCCCCGCATTGTGAAATTGACCCGTGATCATGATGTGATTGTGGCTCTACTTCTACTCTTCTTAGCTGGCTAGTTATTTATTACTATATACACCACGGGCCTAGGCCCAAACCCCTCTTGTTCTTGTTCAACTAACTACCATGCCTGCAAATAAATAATGTTTTCTATCAATCAAATCAACTTAACATACACATATAAATAAACAAGGATAGAATCTTCATTTTCTTCAACACACAAAACAGAATAATAATGAAGCATATGTTTCTAATTCTAGTTTTCTTAGTTCTTTATGTAGAAGCAGATGATGATGGGTTTGTGAAAACAAGAGGAGTACAGCTTATGCTGAATGAGACCCCTTATTATGCCAATGGTTTTAATGCATATTGGTTAATGTACATTGCTTCTGATCCATCTCAAAGAAACAAAGTAACATCAACTTTTCAAGAGGCTGTGAACCATGGACTTAACATAGCTAGAACTTGGGCTTTCAGTGATGGTGGTTATAAACCACTGCAATACTCTCCTGGATCCTACAATGAGGAAATGTTCCAGGTTAGTTAATTAATTTACTCTTCATTCATAAAAATTTCCGGCTCATAGGTCTGGCCAAACATTGTTTTTACTATAAATTAAACTTACCTCGTCTCTGACAAGAGTTCGTTTACCATTCGAACTCAAGTGTTTGGTTATTTTAAATTTATTTTAAGATTAACTCAGTTTTGATTCAAATAAAAGGGATTGGACTTTGTGATGGGTGAAGCTAGAAAATATGGGATGAAGGTGATTTTGAGTTTGGTGAACAACTATGAGAGTTTTGGTGGAAAGAAACAATATGTGGAATGGGCAAAAAGTGAGGGACAGTCCATAAATTCTGAAGATGACTTCTTCACTAATGATGTTGTGAAGGGTTACTATAAAAACCACATTAAGGTAATTTTTGTTTTGTTTTTACTACTATGCTTCTTATCTTTCCATGGTTGGTGAAATATTTCATGGACCTCACCACTTCTATTATTGTTAAAATCTAAAGTTTTAAATTTTGATGTTCCTCTTTAGGAGCAAGAAGTTAATGTTTCCACCAAATATCCCCACCAAAATCTGCTCCCACTCAATAGTTGTCATAAAAGAAAGAAGAAGAATGTCACATGTAGTTTTTTTTTCTTTCTTGAAAAGTTTTTTTAAAAACATAACATCTATTTTTGTTCAAATTATTTAATAGTTGTACTTTCTTCTTTTAAAATGAATAAATTGAAAGTTGTGAATTCGAATTCGCACTCTTACTTTTTGATATTTCGACACGACTATTAATTTAACTCATTTAACAGAATAATAAAATTATTAATTTAATTGTATTATAATAAATAATGATATTCATAAAAGCTAATAAAATTCAGTAATTTTAAAATAATATTAAAAAACTTGAGAAAGCAATGTGAATGGTTTAATTGTACTATTATAAAATTTATTAACTTTCATGAATTTTCAATTTAACTAATCATTATTTATTATAATACAATTAAATTAACTAAAATTGTGTTATCTTATATTAGTTCAGTTGATAATTATTCAGAAATATCAGATGTATGAGTTTAAATTCGAACTTATTTATCTTTGAAGAATGAATATCAATCGCGTGTTGATTAGTATAATCATAAATTAATTCAGTTAATAGTAATCCAAAAACATCAAATGTAAGGGTTCAAATTTAAATTTACAACATTTTACTTATTCAACTTTAAAAAATGAATTTTAACCATAGTTAAGATTAAATAAAAAAAACACAACAATTTTGCTACTCCCCAACATTTTTCAAAAAATATTACTTTAAAAAATATTGCATATATTCACAAATATAAAATAAAATTATCAACAAATATTCTAAAAATATATTTAAGTATTAGCTTTCAACCATCCAAAACAAATATTTTGAGTGTTGGATAATTAGGTTGGCGGATTAGTTGATCAACCCCTACACATATTCTATTGAAATACACTCATATTTTAAAATTATAAAAGAATGAAAAAAAAAATTGTTTTATATCTATACTCAAATTTATTTAAATATATCTAATTTATATATTTGTGATCTTAAATTTATTTTAAGATTAACTCAGTTTTGATTCAAATAAAAGGGATTGGACTTTGTGATGGGTGAAGCTAGAAAATATGGGATGAAGGTGATTTTGAGTTTGGTGAACAACTATGAGAGTTTTGGTGGAAAGAAACAATATGTGGAATGGGCAAAAAGGGAGGGACAGTCCATAAATTCTGAAGATGATTTCTTCACTAATGATGTTGTGAAGGGTTACTATAAAAACCACATTAAGGTAATTTTTGTTTTGTTTTTACTACTATGCTTCTTATCTTTCTATGGTTGGTGAAATATTTCATGGACCTCACCACTTCTATTATTGTTAAAATCTAAAGTTTTAAATTTTGATGTTCCTCTTTAGGAGCAAGAAGTTAATGTTTTCACCAAATATCCCCACCAAAATCTGCTCCCACTCAATAGTTGTCATAAAAGAAAGAAGAAGAATGTCACATGTAGTTTTTTTTTCTTTCTTGAAAAGTTTTTTTAAAAACATAACATCTATTTTTGTTCAAATTATTTAATAGTTGTACTTTCTTCTTTTAAAATGAATAAATTGAAAGTCGCGAATTCGAATTCGTACTCTTACTTTTTAATGTTTCAGCACAACTATTAATTATACTCATTTAAAAGAACAACAAAATTATTAATTTAATTGTATTATAATAAATAATGATATTCATAAAAGTTAATAAAATTCAGTAATCTTAAAATAATATTAAAAAACTTGAGAAAGCAATGTGAATGGTTTAATTGTACTATTATAAAATTTATTACTTTCATGAATTTTCAATTTAACTAATCATTATTTATTATAATACAATTAAATTAACTAAAATTGTGTTATCTTATATTAGTTCAGTTTATAATTATCCAGAAATATCAGATGTATGGGTTTAGATTCGAACTTATTTATCTTTGAAGAATGAATTTCAATCGCGTGTTGATTAGTATAATCATAAATTAGTTCAGTTAATAAATTATTAGATTTATTTTTACATTTCAATTAAATTTTTCACTTATGTTTTAGAATATTTTTTTATAAAACATTTTTTTAACAAATTTTACTTTAAAAAATATTGCATATAATTCACAAATAAATGTATAAAATAGAATCATCAATAAATATTCTAAAAATATACTCAAGTATTAACTTTCAACCAACCAAAATAAATATTTTGAGTGTTGGATAACTAGTTTGGCGGGTTAGTGGATCAACCCCTACGCATATTCTATTGAAATACACTCATATTTTAAAATTATAAAAGAATGAAAAAAAAATTATTGTTTTATATCTATACTAAAATTAATTTAAATATATCTAATTTATATATTTCTGATCTATATTATTATAGTATTTCTAAAATTAAAAATATGTTAATGATAAAATTTGTTTATTATTTTATACAAAATTATTCTTTTAAAAAATGTTAAAAATTTATATATATTTTCTAAAAAAATTATTTTTCCAACCTCTCTTCTCTCCTAATATAATATTGGAGTTTTTATTTTATGTGAGTTATTATTACTATAGACGGTGCTTACAAGACATAACAACTTCACTGGAGTTGCTTATAAAGATGACCCTACTATAATGGCTTGGGAGCTTATGAATGAGATTAGATGCTCTTCAGATCATTCAGGAAATTCAGTTCAGGTAAACCATATTTGCCTTATTACTTACTCCATCACACATAAATATTAATTTTGACTTTCGAGATTGCGATTTTCGAATAGGGTTGGATTAGTGAGATGTCATCTTACTTGAAATTTATAGATGGAAACCATTTGCTCGAAGCTGGTTTAGAAGGTTTCTATGGACAGTCAAAGACAGAGTCTAATCCTAACTTCCAAGTAGGAACCGATTTTATTGCAAACAACCAAATCTCCAACATCGATTTTGCAACACTACATTCCTACCCGGATCAATGGTTTGTGTCAATGACGACCTTTGTGATTATATTTAATTTATGACTATCGTGTTTCTGGTGTTTGTGCTTATAGGATTTGTGATTATGTATTGTTTTACTTCCCATAAGCAGGTTATCAAGTTCGGGCTATGAAGACCAACTCTCTTTCTTAAGTGAGTGGCTCAATGAGCATATCCAAGATGCACAGAACATCCTTCACAAGCCACTTCTATTTGCAGAATTTGGAATTTCCACTAAAAACTTGGGCAATAATAGCTCAACACTGAGGGATAAGTTTTTCAATACAGTATATTCAGCTGTATATTCATCGGCAAGTGGCGGCGGAACTGCTGTTGGTGGCTTATTTTGGCAACTTCTTGCTCAAGGGATGGATTCTTTCCGAGATGATTACGAAGTGATATTAGCTGAGAGTCCCTCCACATCAACCTTGATTTCTCAAGAGTCTCGAAAACTAAGACGTATTCGCAAGATGTACGCCAAGCTTCACAAACATTGACAAGTTGAATAAGATGTAGTTATATCAGTGATATTTATATTCAGAAGCCGATGATAAACTTTTATTTGGAAAACTATAAAGATACTCGTGGAACCGCACGGATGATATGTTTTTTGAACTTTTACTTTCTTAATTTGAGTACTCTAAGTATTTCAACTACATAAGTGCCGACAAACTAACTATTGTACTCAAGTTTATATATAAACTCTAGAGATTGACCGGATAATTTGAAGTGCTTCATATAACTGTTCCGTCTTTAATGGTTGCGTTCTTCAGTATAACAGTGATGCCCGACCTAATGTAAAATCCTTCCTTAGTTTTATCGGCTTCTTCAACACCCTGACAAATCAACATGTTTTAATCAGCAGAGAAGAATAGAAAATGAAATACACCATTAATCAAAATCTTTTGCTGCAGTTTTTGAAAGAAAGGTTTTGAAACAGTACTTACATCCGCATTTGTAATGGTAACATTTCTTCCGATTTTTGCATTCTTGTCGATTATACAATTCCTTGAAAAAAGTTCCATAATGAAATCGTCAGAAATAAGAAAACGGGGTGCCATATAATGTTTTATGTTATGACATGTACATTATCAAGCATGGCTCAGCTTGAATTGTAAATTGTTCTTCTCGTCTAGAATTCAGAAACACAGGAATTCTGTGTGACATAATCGTACCTGATTTTGGTATTTTCTCCAACACCAATTGGAACATTTCCTTCTGCCAGCAGAGATGCAATTTCAGGCTCAGTTTGATAATAATCAGCGCCCATCATCATGGTATCCTAGGTTGCAAAATCCATCAAGATATATATCGAATAGAAAAGGAAAAAGTTTAAAACAATGAGCTAGAAGTGTAGAACAAAGAAAAAAAGTGACTGGTGCAGAAAATGTATACCTGAAGCTCCACACCAGACTCTAAACGGGAGCGTATTCCGACAATAGAATGTTGAACGCTACATTCTCTCAAGAAGCAACCATGAGAAATAATTGCGTCCACAATCTATTGAAACCAATTCATCATTTTTACATTAATATCAACAACAAAAATCAATCAGCACAAAGTCCTTTGAAAGAAGTGGGTGTAATACCTTGCATTTTTCTACTTTAGTGGGAGGCAGGAATCTTGGGGAAGTGAAGAAAGGTGTCTTTGGATCATAGAATTGAAATTTTGGATACTGCAAGTAATAACACAAGTAATCAGCAAATTCATAACATTTTTCCTTTTGAAGGAAAACTTACTCGGTAGTAAAGTCACTTATTCACTTTTTCTCAATTGCGTTATTAAATAAATTATAGGAAATTCAGACATACCGGTTCCGTTAGGGCCAGATTTGCATCGAAGAAGGACTTTATGGTTCCAATATCTTCCCAGTAGTCATTGAACAAAAATGCCTGAGAACGCAAATATAAACAGAAACATGAAGTTAGTTACCAATAAACCCGAAGAGATTATTTTTATTATCATTCAAGAATTTTCAAAAAGAATAGCAGTAAGGATATCCCTTTTCACCTGGACATTGTGCCCGTTAACAGCAGACGGGATAATTTCAGATCCGAAGTCATTGCATGTAGAACCGTTCAATTTTAAAAGTTCAAGTAGGGTCTCAGTTCTGAACACATAGACACCCATGGACGCAATATAAGGCTGTTCCTTTGCTTCTTCGGGAGATAACCCAAGAACCGTGGTATCAACACGCTGCAGTTATTATCGATGCATTAGGTAGGCAACAACTAGATTAAACTTACTACAGCGATTATTCAGGTAAAAATGGATGTAAGAAAGCTCAAGCTTGAGATACAATTAGTCACCATTGCTTTCAAATCTGATCCCTTAGGCTTTTCCGCAAACTGTATAATCCGTCCCGTTCCGTCAATTTTCATCAACCCATAATCTGATGCTCGACTACAAGAGAGATGAAATGATATTATTGTTCGTAAATATTCTGCCCCTAGTAAATGAAGTGGTATGCCTTCGGTGTAAAAATTGAATGAAACCATATCAGGCAGATATTTCATGTAGATATACCTGTCGTCCATGGGAAGACACGAAACTGTGATATCAGCATTTGTGTCAATGTGTTTCTGCAATGATACCCCCAAGTCAAAATCACCATTAGTTTTAGAAAAACGAATAACATGGTATAAAATCCATTAGTTGTAATCTTAGAGTAGAAATTATATCAACTTTCACCTGTACAAAATCCATATAGTTCATTCGGTAAAGATGATCACCGGAAAGTATCAATATATGCTCAACATTCTTGGTTTTAGCATCCTGTGCGACAATAATCCAGAAACATAAGCTATACTTAAAGAGAAAACAAGCATAAATATTTTCAACAAGAGAAGATCTAAATATTACGAAAGTTTTTCTTCACAGATCGTGAAAATGACAAACGCGTATTTATTTTAACCAATAAGCAGCCGGTTACAAACAGGTTTGGCAGAAATCACACATAGCCAATTGCATTTATTCTCGCGTAATCATTTTCGTGCCACATTGATCTGTAACATGCATCACTATCCTTTCAGCAAACATGCAACATCACAATACTTTACCTCAAAAACCCATAAAAATTGCCTCACAGCATCAGCTGTCCCTTGGAACCATTTCTTCCCAGCTTCTCCAGATGTTTGAGTTGCCGCCAATACCTATGTGTACAAGCAATAATCAATTACACAATTCAACATTACAATCACCGAATTTTGTTACATTTTCACGATGACAATGCTTCTACATTTTATACAATTTACAAGTAACTCACCTCCACAAAACCCTCCCCATAAGTGGAAACATTTCCAAAATTATACGCGCGAGACAAATGCCGGTTGAGGGAGAAAGAATTATACTGTGTCAAGATAAATATTTTCCTAATCCCACTATTGATGCAATTGCTCATAGGAACATCAATGAGCCTATAACACCCTCCAATTGGAACCTGCAGAAAAAAAAAATTCCAAAAATAGTAACAAAAAATCTACATAACCTATATACAAATTGCAATCACTAGTACTAATAACCAACATTGAAATCAAAATTGAAAATTGAAAGAATTGAGAATGGAAATCATATATATAAACATACAGCAGGTTTAGCTCTTTTGCTAGTAAGAGGAAAAAGGCGAGTTCCAGCACCACCGCCCAAAATGATTGAAGCAACACTTTTAGGGTCTGCTTTAGGAGTATCAAAATAGGGTCCATCTTGAAAAGTCTGAAACCAAAATCAATAAAAAAAAAAGTTATTTCTTTTCGTTGATGATGACATTTGAATTGAGCAGAGTAATTTACCATGGATTCTTCAAAATCATTGATCCCTGTAGTGAGAACTACATGAGTTCTAGGGTTAAAGTTTCTAGGAATGAAGCGAGATTGTGAAGTTTTGGGTGACTGAATGGTACAAAATCTTGAAGTTTCACCTAAGAAAAGGGTGTTTCTGGTTCTAGTAAGAGATGAAAGTATTGATGAATCCATGGATGTGTTGTTGAAGAAAGAAGAATGGTGTTTGAAATGGTGGTGACTGAGTCACGAGAAGCGTGGTAAGAAACAGTATGTTTCTCTCTCAGTGACTCAGCAATGGCTCTACAAATTTCTATGAGTGATTCCTGAACTGAACATGACCCTTCCTTGCAATTTTATGTTTTTCTTTTCTTTTTTATTTATACTAATAAATCTTTGAATCTTTATTTGAAACCTGAAAATTGATTTCTTTTTCTAATAATTGTTGTTTAGTAATTACGCTAGATCGAATTACGTGAATGAATAACGTATATATTATTGGTAAGATTCTCTCCATATTTTGATCTTTTTAGATTTTTTAGATAATTTACATTAGTTATTTGATCAATCAAAAAAATAATAATCATTTTTTACTAATAAAAAACAGATGAGGTCAATTATTAAGGAAATGTCAATTGTCAATTCGTAATAAATATTATATTATTTTATTTTATTTTTTCTCATCGTAATTTTTAATAATAAAATTTAATTGATATGTATTTACATTGTTATCTAATAATTATTCATTAATCTGATATGATAGGGATTGATTGACCGTATAAAATTATTTTATAGTTTCGTTATATATTTCATATTTTTCTAAAAATAAATATAAAAACAGTTTGCAATTTTTTTTAACTTTTTAATTTTTAAAAAACATGAGAGTAGAAATAGTTTTTAAAACAATTTTATAAATTATATAATTAACCAAATTTTAAACTTAAACTTTAAAAATTAAGAGGTTTTGATAAACTGAATTAAATAAAATCATAAATATTTAATTTATATTTGATGATCTTTTATATATATATATATATATATATATATATATATATATATATATATATATATATATATATATATATATATATATATATATATATATATATATATATATATATATATATATATATATATATATTCGGTCAATCTACGAAACTCGATTAAATAAACTAAAAAGATGGTTTGGGTCGGATATATATATATATATATTTAGATTGGGTCAATCTACGAAACTCGATTAAATACACTAAAAACATGGTTTGGGTCGAATAATTGAATGAATATTAAGTTTTATAATTAAATTAACAAAATTTTATACTAAATTAATATCATCTTAATAAATATTAATTTACTAAAATATATTATAATATCTTTCATATTAATTTAAATTATCTTAAAGTATTTCTTAATATAAAATTTGATATAGGTTATTTTTTATTATGATATTTTTAAATTTTAAATCTCCATATCCAATAATTTCAAAGTTTGATTTGTTTAAGTTTTAAATAGTTTTTTATATAAATGTAGAGGATATTATAAGATCTTTTATAATATTTCAAAAAAAATTTAATTGACTTTGTTATAAATTAAAAATAAATATTAAATTAAATTAAATATATTAATTTAGTAAATATTTTTATTTTTAAAACACATAAATATTACCTCCAGTCGTATTTATAAGAGAAAATTTTCTCTTATTAAATAAATTTTATTTAAAT